TGATGAATGTGGTGTCATTTTGGCAAAGCACGATTTCCCCTTCTTGTAAACCGCAGGGCAGAGTAAAACACGGTATGCAGGCGCATATCCCATGACAGCTGCAGGGAGTAATATTTAGAACAAATAAGGAAAGCCACCATCTAATTCCCCGAGTATTCTAGGAAAAAGAGAGAAATCCATGGATTTTGCTGTTCAAAGACATGCAAAATGCAAAACTGAAAGACATTTGACATCATAATAACAATCTTTGGCAGTTAAGCTTTTCACATAAATTTATAATGCAAAACATTTCCCTTTTCTGATTTACTTGTGCTCTAGAGCCAGACTTCTTGGTTTCATTTCCAAATCTGTTGTGCACCAACTGTGTGTCCTTCCATAGGTTACTGACCTCTCTGTGCTTTGGTTCCCCCATGTGTAAAAGGGGATAATAATAGTACCTACCTCAGAGGGCTGCTGTGAGGATTAAATACATTAATATCTATGAAAGGCTTAGAATGCTACTGGCTCATAGTAAGTGCTGTGTTAAATGCCAGCTACTATTATCATTATTACCATTTTTATTACTATTGAAATATTTTAAGAAATCTATTTTATGTCCAAAAAAAGTGTGGGTCTCTTATTCTTTGTCTGAATAACCCCACCCCACATTCTTTGCCTGGCTAATCATCCTTCAAATCTCAGCTCACTCTATAATAGAGAAAAGTTAAGACAACCCTAGTGGATTGGCCCAAATAGCAGAATGACTAAATGCAAGTTTTGTCATACCCACACATGGAAATATCATGCATACGTTCATTCCAGTTGCAAATCATCTTTGAGTTTTTAATGCCATGGAAGAATATTAAGTAATAATAGTAAGATATACTTGTTCAGGAAAGGATATTGAGTACCAATAGTAAGTATGGAAAGAGGCACAGAATGATAGGGCAATTTTTGCTTTCTTATTTATACCTCCCTATATTTTCTAAATTTTGTGTGATGACCATGTATATTTTCTATAAAAGAAAAACAAACTAATATAAATTTTAGAGAAAGTCATGCCTCCCATTTTTTGGAAGCCTTTCTTGACACTTGACTGTCACCATCTAAAGCACATACCCCCAACATCTGACACGGGGCCCATCACGTAGTAGGGACTCCATAAAGCTTTGCTGAATTATTTTCTTTTCACGCTGGAGTATTCCCTGTGACCTGAGTGGACAGAGGCCAGAAACCAGTATGAAAGCATTGTCTGAAGGAAGAGGCTTCATAAGGAATACTGGGAGTTTCTTGATCACACCATACTGGTGAGGCTTTACCCTTCTCTCGAGTTTAACGTGCCAAAGGCCCTGCCCTCCACCCATGACAGCCAAAGAGCAGGCGGTGGCAGGTGACCAAGGTCCATTTCCAGTGTGAGAAGAGTGGGGCAGGCTACAGATTCCATCCTGAAGAACCCTGCACCCTGCACCCTGCATCCTTGTGTACTTGTTTCTTCAACCCACAATTCAACTTCTCCCATTTCCCCAAAGTGGCTTGAATACCATATTGGCAAAACCACAGAATTAACCTCTTCTTGGTTTCTTATCTCAGCAAAATGACCCTGTGTTCCAGCTCACCTGGGCTTTCCAGTCTCAACATTTGCCTTCAAGGAATTCTCTAGTTGCAGGCATTTCCCTCCGAGAGGCTCGCACTCTTGGCCTCCACCCCAGTGGTCTCCCCGACACCCATGAATCTCAGCACTGTCCTAGGAGAGGCCGGGATGTCCAGATTGCCCACCTCTGTCTCCTGCTCCTCGTTGGTTTGTAATCTCTTCTGTGAGTCTGTTACCATCAGAGATTCCCTCTGTGTGTAATCTCACAGGTCACACCTGTCAAGGGACTCTGGTGATCTCTGAAATGGGAGTTGAAAACCTTGGGTCTTGACACAAGCCCTGGGTGCCCTTGATCAGGTCTTTTAACTCCCATAGGTGTTGCTTTCCTAATCTGTGCAATGGCGGGACAGATTGGGGTCAGGTAAAACCACAGACTGAGGACATGCTGAGGGAATAAGTACCAGGACCTTTGCAAGGTCACCTTACAACTGTGGCTGCTGGTCCTGCTTGAAGCCTGGAGAGGCTGAGAACAACGTGACAAGACAGATGTGAAGATGCCCACAGTGGAGCTGTGAAAACAGTGGCGGTCAAGGGTGTGGAAGGGGAGAAACCTCTGTATTACCACGAGTGAGGGGAAATGAAGGGCTTCCCTGCTCGGGAGTGAGGGGGTGACCCTTCAAAAGCACGTGCAGCTCCCTGGAACCGTGGTTGAACTTCGATGACACTTCTCACACCCCTGAGCTAGAAGGAGTTGAGTCCAAGAATAGCATCCATTATGACAAAGCCACTGGGCGTGTGGGTGGAAGGTGGAGGAGGAGGGGACTTGCCACCCTGCCAGGGCTAAGGAATCACATTTCGGATGGAATGTCAGAACACCTGCCTCATTCTTCCTTGGTTTGCTCATTTGGCTAAACAGGGGTTCACATCTTGAGTCCATCACACCCCCTCCCACCCAACTGGTAGTCTGGGCACTTATTAAACACACATTTATTGCACACCTATTGTATACACAGAGATAAGCATACCAAAGTTTTTGCACCAAGGAGCTCACTTTCTAGTGGGAGAGACAAGCAAATAAATAGATAGGTGATATGATGGAAGTAGCTTGGGAGGCTATAGGAGCACAGAAGAGGGGGCAGAATCTACTTAGGAGAGAGGTCAGGGAAATTTCTCTGGAAAGATAAGTGCCTTTTTTGTCATGTATTTGAAAATCATTTGTTATCATTCTCTATTGGCTATTACTTAGAAACACCATCAGTGCATAAATCTTGGGGGTAAGTCATTTGGCTAAACAAATTGATACAAGTCCCTTTTACTCTTGGTGTGAAATTTCACTGGTGCAAACACAGTGTTATAACTGGGACCCTCATGAACAAAACATTTTACCTCCACAAGCCAAAGATCAATTCAAGACTAGGAAGCAAAAGTCAACAGACAAACTCATTGTGGGGCTCAGTGCAGAATAACCACCCATGTTACCTATCATCATTTTCATCATGTCCCAGAGCAGGTATCTTCCTAACCTCCCCCACAGAGTGAAGAGCAGCCCAGCCCACTCATTGAGACAGAGGCTCCTCCTGAGCACCGAGTGGGACTTAGACTTACCTTGGAACTCTATTCACCTACAGCTGAGGGCTGACCTTCTCCATCCTCAGGGTGCCCGACACTGTGTCTCCTCCTCAGACCTGACACTTAGCTTATTCCCCCACCATCACTAGACTAAGAACTCCTTGAGGGCAGCGATGGGGCTTCATTCAGCTCTGTCCACCCTCACAAACAGCAGATGAATAGTAAGTTGGGTTGAATTGAAATACCCTGGATAATGAAGTCTGTGTGGATCCAGGGAACACAAGACACATCCTCCTGCCCTTAAAGCAAGATCTTTGATGCGTGAAGATGAAACCACATCAACCAGGAGAGACCATGAGAGACACTAGCACATGTGATATCAGGGAACACAGAACATCAGAGCTGGGGTGAGGGTCTTGGTGAAGGTCAGAACATTCGAAGCAAGAGCCATAGAAAGAAAAGGTTGAGGACTGAAAGAACAGAGGAAGGAGGGAAGTACAGCTTGTGTTGGGGGCAGGGGTAAGGGGGTACTGCTGAGATAGGATGACCTTGGACTTTATTTAATGACCCTGAAGTACCCCAGGATGCTCCTCCGATTCCTCCTATGGCTCCCAGATACTCTGGCTTCCTCGTTTTGCACTTCTTTTTGCTTTCTCAGATTACAGCAGGTAGCCATGCGGGATTAGGGGTGAGCAGGTAGGTCATAGTAGTTGAGCTACAGGTGGGTAGAGATCTAGTTGCAATCATCCTCATTCCCCCATTTGCCCTACTTCACACACCCTGTATTCCGGACCTTCGTAAGCTTCACCTTCTATACAGGTCCCCAGCCAGGGCTTTGCATGAACCAAGGCATTCCCTGTGGACTGGATGGGAAACACCCACATGCTTGGATGGCACAGTTTTTCTGTGACATAGATAAACTCATTGGTAGGTATCCAGTTCCATTTTTATACTAGAGGAACATTCTTATTGGGACCTTTCAGACTGGATTCTTACTGATTTCTTTCTCCTGCTTTCTTATCAGTCCAATAAAATATCCTGAAATCTTTATTTCTTTTTCATCCCCTGCTTGTTCTGGGACAGACTAACCCAATCCTTTTCTTGAATGAAGTCCTAAGATGAATCTGTGTGTGGAATAGCCCTTGTTGTGCTCTGTGTGGCCATACTCTGTTTGTTCTGGAGACCACAGCATGGAAATAAAATGGACTTTAGAGTCAGATTAATCTCAATTTAAATCTTGGCAGTGCCCCTTACCAGCATGGAGCTCATCGGTGAAATGCTCTCTGATCCTCAGTTGCCTTATCTGTAAAATGGGATTAATCACACCCCTGCACAGGGTTATAGCAGGATTAGATATAATATGTATAAGGCAGCTTTCCCAGTGCCTGGCACATAATAAATGTCCAATAAGAAGTTATAAACAATTCTGAATCACCCTCCTGGGTCCCTCTGCACGTCCAGTGCTGGACTCTTTATGCCCAAGGAAGCATACAGGGCATGCAAATCCCTCAGCCCAGCAGAAGGAGGCACAGGAATGGGACATGGGAGTCCTGGCTCCCCCTTTCTTCTTTGGGGTCAGGCTTGTGGCCCAACCTGGAAAGACTGACGTAAAGCCTCCAGCGCCTGGAGGTGCCATCCGCCAAGAGCAGAATGGTTCTTGTCTATGAGACACTTCTAGTAGGTGTGAACGCTTCATCTTTTCCTCTGGGGTTTGCAAACCTCTCCCCAGTCTCGGTTATTGCTTTTGGTTGTACCACTTCCCTCTAGCGTGCAGCTCTCCATCTCCCTCATCTTTCTCTGTGGTGACATCACCCTGAGGAAGAGAAGCTGAGAGCAGCTCCTCACTCTCAGCTAGCTTCAGTTTCCTTAGAGGTGCTGTGACATCATCTTTACCCTGGAAATTCCACTCACCTTCCTGTGCCCCCACATTCAGCCTAGGCCATAGCGTCCCTATAAAGAGAGTGTCCCAACCCAGCATCAGCACAGAACACAGCTGGGTTCTGAAGCTCCTGAGTTCTGCACTCTCAGCTCTGGGGAAACCTCTCCTCCACCAAGACCATGAAGTTCTGCGTGACTGCTCTCTCTCTCCTCGTGCTAGCGGCTGCCTTCTGCTCCCCAGCGCTCTCGGCACCAAGTAAGTTGACTCCTCCAGCTGTTACTCTAGAGTCAAGATGTAGGCAGAGTCCACTTTTCTAGTTGGGGCTAGTGGGATCTAGGGATGGGACAAAAGGGAGCTGGGAAGAATTCCAAGTATTTTGCTGTTAAATGTAAAGTCTCATAGCTAGTCAATAACATTCAAGTTCCTGTCCTGTTTTCTTAAGAATTAGCAACCAGTAGAGGAAAAGGATGGGTTAGAAGTGAGACTGTTGAGTTGGCTCTGCCACTAATGACTCGTTTAAGTAAGCCCCTGTTCCCTCTGAGCTCTGGTTTCCCATCTGCAATACGAAGGGGAGTGAGATGTGTTCTGAGATTCAATCCAGTTCCAATCCCCTAGAATTCTTTCTTGCTCTTCTTTGAGGATCCACTATTCAGAATAAGACTCCCACTCAGGGTAGGTGGGAATGGATACAAGGGACAATATTTGGGGTTCTGGTAGGTTCTCAGGAGTGCTTGATGAATATTTATAACTAGAAGCCAAAATGAACAGCTCCCATGGAGAGCTGCCACCTCACCCCGGCCTTTCCTTCCAGTGGGCTCAGACCCTCCCACCGCCTGCTGCTTCTCTTACACCCTGCGGAAGCTTCCTCGAAATTTCGTGATGGATTACTTCGAGACCAGCAGCCTCTGCTCGAAGCCAGCCGTGGTGTGAGTATCAACTTGGGCTGCCCTGGGAGGCAAGGGGCAGCGCGGGATGGAAAAGGGGAGCCCGTTTGGGGCGACCAAGCAGTGGGAGGTCCGTTCTCAGGGCTGAAGCCCTCCCAGGGGTCTCTAAGGAAACAGGTCGTGAAGTCACTTTTTGAGTGACTGGGGGAAAGTGGCTGGGTGGCAGCCAAAGCAGAAGATGGGGGTTCCTGGAAAAGAAGTTATCCAGAGGCCAGGAACCCAACTAAAGTCAACACAGTCACATGCGATAGGAGCCGATTTCTTAAACCATGCTAGAAAAACACGTGGGAAAGTCATTTCTAGAGTCAGTAGGGAATGGGAGATCTATTTGTGTCGATTGCAACACCCAGCAGTTCCTAATCTAAGCTAGCCCTAGGGCCACAGCTAAATCCAGTGGGTGGAAGTTCCAGGGAGTCTGGTTTCAGTACCAGCCCAGGAAGGATGCCAGCCTCTGTAGTCAAGCGGAGGAAGATGCCTGCCACAGGCTAGGGGTAGTACTACATGCTCTCAAAGGTCCCATGGGATTCTAATCTGTTCACTCCTTCATCTACAGGTTCCAGACCAAAAGGGGCAGGCAGGTCTGCGCCAACCCCAGTGAGCCCTGGGTCCAGGAGTACGTGGATGACTTGGAGCTGAACTGAGCTGCGCTGGGCTCAGGGGAAGGAAGTCTTCAGGGAAGGTCACCCGAGCCTGGATGCTTCTCAGTGAGACGCACCTTCTCCACGCTCACGATTCCTCTCAGTGGTTCCTGTCCCTTCTCTTAATTTAATCTTTATCGTGTGCTATGTTATTGTATTGGGTGTTATTCCATTATTTATGTTTGTTTTGCCAAAGGACATATGTCCCCCGTGGGGACGGCCCACCATCACTGTTTCTCTACTATTGCGAATACATGGATGATGCGGTTGATTCCGTGTGTTTTCATAATAAAACTTTTTAAACAAAGGTAGACCATTTCTTTGTCATTTTCATTCAATTTAGGGTGAAAGAAATTGCCTGGTGCCATTAGGAGGGACAAACTACAGTTTCCAAAAACAATAGGAAGGAAAAATTGCTGAGTCCTTAATACATGCTTGGGCTAAACCCTCTCGTGATCCTACTTAACACTTCCAACAAGGATTTTAACATTCGCGAAGCAGGGACTGTTGCCTCTAATTTCACACACGAGGAAACAGGCACAGAGAGGTGAGGTGACTCGCTGAGGCTTGTGGGTCTACTTGGGGAGCTCCATGGGGGGATGGTCTGAGAGGATAACTGGGCTGTGAAGGGTTAGCGTTTCGACATCTCATGGCAAGTGGTAAACAAAGGAAACAGCACGGGATGGGGGAGCGGAAGTAGTCCAGAGTCAGAAAAGTGACTTCATCATCTTATTAGCAACAGGACAGTAGGACAGTCATCTTGCCTTACTGGACCTCAATTTTTATACCTGTAAAAGGGGGATAATATTAATCACTTTGAAGGGCTGTTGTGAGGTGATGTGTAAAGGACCCATCATGGGGCCAAGCACCTGGAAGATTCTCCCCTCCCCTCTCTGAGCTTCGGCCTTTTTACTTACAACAGGCACAGCTTCTATAGGGGCTGTTATAAGGACCAGGTTGGTTAGATAATGGATCGGTACTCTAAAGCCCAAAGCAAATGTGAGGTGTTACCATCAGGATGGAAGGATGCGATGTCTGGTTGGGTTTGGAAATGTTGCAGGAGTAACCAAAAGTCACATCAGCTTAATAACCCTTCTATCCCCAAAAGGGGACCTACTGGGTAAGAAGGATAAGCAGAGACTACCTTGAAGATTGTTTGAATATTCTTAGTCCTTAGCAAAAGCAGAATTGGGGCCTTGCATCTCTCTGGGGCCAACAGACAGAATGCCCTTCCTATCCTGCTCGTAGCCACCCCATCATCCCAGCCCTGGTAGAAACCTCGTTCAGATTCTAGAAGGACTGAGAGGAGGAGGCTGGGGCAGAGCTGATCCAAAACAGGCGTGAGGAGAGACTAGCAGCAAAGAGCCTGCCTGGCCTTACCTTCTGCTTTCGTCTGCCTAGATTTGCACTGTCCAATATGTTAGCCACTGGCCGGAGTGGCTATTTAAATGTCAATTAAATCTGATTAAAATTAAATAAAATCTAAAATTCAGTTCCTGAGCCACGCTAGCCACATGTGCCTTGTGTCTACCCTGTTGCGTGGCACAGATACAGAACCGTCCATCACTGCAGAAAGTTCCATTGATGGAGCTGTGCTGGGATGTTCTCAGGGCTTAAAGAAAGAGAAGGGAGGGGGAGTTGGGGTGGCCTGGAAGGTTAAAGTGTGGATTGGGAGAAAGATACGCAATGCTCTTCCGAGGGGATGGGATGGGGTGGGATGGGAGAGAGAATGCCTGGTCCTCAGGCCCTAGACAAGGTAAGTTCATTGTAGTAGCTGAATAATGGCCCCCAGATGCCCACATTATAACCCCCCAAACCTGTGAATGTTACCTTATCTGGAAAAAAGGACTTTGCCGATGTGTCCCTTAAGGATCTTGAGATGGAGAGATTACCCTGGGCTGTGTGGGCAGGCGGTGAGTGGCCTTAGAAGGTGAGGCAGAGGGAGATTTGACGACAGAAGAGAAGGCAGCGATGTGGCAACCAAAGCAAGATGCTGTGCTGCTGGCTTTGAAGAAGGAGGCAGAGGCCACGAACCAAGAGGCGCTCGAGGGCAGCCCTGGACGCCGGCAAAGGCCAGGGAATGGTTCCTTTCCTAGAGCCTCAGAGGGAGTGCAGCCCAGCGAAACTGGCCTCCAGAACTGTAAGAGAGTAAACGTGTGCTGTTTCAAGACACCGACTTTGTGGTGGCTTGTCACAGGAGCAATAGGAAACTAACACAACCACCAACTGAACAGTCACTGATAGTGACCCCCTACAGCTTAGCGCAGAAGGGAATGGAACATTCTAGAGCGTGAGCCAAACTTCCTTGCAGGAGAAACCCAGGGTGAGGTGGACACGTTCCTGGGAGATGGGCTGCAGTGAGGAGAGGCGCTGCAAGAGGAGGTTCTGCTTCAGCAGTGGAGGGCGCAGGCTGAGGTGCTAGCCAGGAACAGGACCCACAGGAAGTGTGCCTCTTCTCGACACTTCTGTGGTTCTCTGAGGGGTCTTGGGTTCCTATCTGGAAAAGAGCCCATCCTCTCACTTGTCAGATGCAGTGCAGAGCGGAGCCATGACCTGTGTCCGTTTGGTTATTGGTGAGAGGACAAGGTTAGGGCAAGAACCTGGGTCTCCTCCCTCACCATGGAACCCTCTCCCCAGGCCTCCTGCCCCTCAGCAAATCCAAAGGGAAGGGCTCAGTTCCAGGAAGCAGCTCTCCAGGAAGGCCGCGGGAGGCCTGCATGGCCTCATGAAGAAATGCTTCACCCAGAGTTACAAACGACAGCATGGAATCCTCGGCGTGGGGCAATGTGGGACTTCACCTGTTGCATAACATGAGACTTTGTTTTTTCCTCTCTCTCTTTTCATACAACTTCCCTTTTTTATCCTGGGGCCAGACAACTGGTCTCTGCTTACTTGACTTTCCAGCTGAGGTTTCTCCAGGTTTCTGGGTGAGGACCAGAGCCAGAGTAGATGACAGGCAAAGGGGACTACGGTTTATGGAGTAACGTCTAGATCCCAGGGCTGTTTTTCTACTCTCGTGCAGCAACTGCCTCCCCCATTTCACTCTCCAGGTGAGAGGAACCTGTTTCCTCATGTACCGGTTCATACAGACTTTCTGTCCTCCCCCCACCCCACCTCAATCCAGAACCTTCCATAACACTCCCATCGATGTGGGCATTTTCCTCCTAGGAGGTCAACAGCCAAGGTCAAGCATGCCAAGCCCGGGATCAAGGAAGCGAGTTGAGCTGAGGGTGGTGAAAAAACCCACAGTTCTTCCTGGTGGCCGAGGCCTTGACCACGTGCCGGTCCTGAGCTGCCGTCCACATTCACCCTTCACAGACCCGAGCACTTGTCCCCACCTGTTCTCTCTTCCAAGCTCCTCTCCTCTTGGGTTCCCACTGAGTTTAGCAGACAGGAAAATGGGAAAAGATGTGGGAATTGAGAGACAAAATTGTGATTGCATTTTTTTACTTTTTAAATAGTTTCATTTTTAGATACAGTAAGTTCCTCTGTATCCATGGGTTCCACATCCACAGATTCAACCAGCCACAGATGGAAAATATTTGGGGAAATGAAAAAATAATAAAAAATAACAGTGCAACAATAAAAAATAACGCAAACAAAAAATAATATGGTATAACAATTATGTACATAGCATTTACATTGTATTAGGTATTATAAGTAATCTAGAGATGATTTAAAGTATATGGGAGGATGTACATAGGTTATATGCAAATATGGCCCATTTGATTGTGGGGACTTGAGCATCTGTGGATTTTGGTATCCATGGGGGGCCTGAAACTAATCCCCTGAAGATACTGAGGGATGACTGTATCTTCGTGTAGAAAATATACACAATCAGAAAAAAAAAAGAAAATAAAAAAAATTTTCAGGGAAGACAGGCTTGATCCTAACAGGATGGTTGAAGGATTTCCCCCTTCTATGGAAACACTCCCAACAGGGGAACAGCACAGCCAGAGGGAAATCATTTCTTTAGGCTGCATTATTTCCTTCTAAATCTCAGGACCCTGTGCTCCCGGGCTCCTCAAGGAGACATTAGTACAATGACTTCTTATTCATCTCCTTAAGGGGTCTTCTCTTCTTTCTGTTAGGGGCTGGAAGGAGAAGGCTATCAGTATTTACCAAGTTCCTTAATGTACCAGATGCTATGTTGCTTGAGTTTCATGTACAGTCTTCTTTAATCCTTGCAAAAACTCAGGTAGCTATCATTATTCCCATTTTAAAGATGAGAAAACTGAGGCTCCAAGGGATCAAGAGGTAGATCCACAGTGTGGGGACACTGGCTTCATTTTATCCTTTTCATTTGTAATCTCTGCAGGCCAATTTGATTTGTATTCGCTCTTCATTCTATAACCTTCTCACCTATGTCTACCTTAAAATTGTAAACCTCGCTCCCTTCCGTCCTGCCTTTCTATGTCTTCTCGATTTGGGAGGTTGGAAGAGCTTGTCTTCTTCTCCCGCTTTATTTCTTGAAAAGAGTGAATCCCTGCATCTTCCAGGCGGGAGGCTGCTGTATCTGTGATTCAAGATGAAGTCTGGGGATTTAAGTCCCTAACCGATCATTGGACTCACTAGGAGTTTATCATCATGCACTTAATGGTCTTAAAATCAATAATTTTCAAACAGGTAACAGTGAACATTATATCAAATTCAAAAGACACAAAAAGACATCCAACCAAAAAGTAAGGCTACTTCCTAGCTCTGCCACCCAAGTATCCAGTTCCCTTCCCTGGAAGCGATGAATGACTGTGCCACTCTTTTATGAATTTGTTCAGAGCTTCAACAGCCTTTTAAAAGTGTCAGGAAATGGAACAACAAAAGCAATAGTTAGGATTGCCCAAACCATTGGGGCCTTGGGTTTCTAGCCTTTGTCCTGAAGGTGCTTTAAACCTCTCCTTCTACAGGCCTAGACTTACAAAGCTCTTGGCAGTTGTGCCCTGGGATAGATGTAATTCGGACATAAAACACTTTCTTAAGATTGGAAAATGCCACTTTCTCTCCCCTTTTCTCAATCCCCTAAACAATGGGTTGTTGGAAATATCCTTGGTAAGTTTCATAAGACTGCTTATTTCATGTGATGCTCGTACATTTCATAGTCACCAACTTTGTTGTGCAAAGATGTAACTTTCTTTTTTCTATAACTGGACCGAGCTCTCCAGTCCCATTTTCTTCTGGTAGCAGAAAATTTAATGTGGCTAACGAGGTAAACATAGTTGCTTCTTGATGTTTTTCTCCAGTTGTGAATCCTCTGTCTCCCATCCTTCCTCTATGTTCCTTCTCCCAGTCTTCCCAGGG